TGTTGTTAATTTAAAATTATATATTACATAAAAAAATTTAATTATAAATCATAAATTAAATTTAATTAAAAATAATAAATTATAAATTATGGCCTTATAAATTAAATTTTTTTAGTGTTGTTGAAAATTTAATTTTTATCTTAAATAAAATTATTTTTTATTGTCGTTAATTTAAAATTATATATTAAATAAAAAATATAAATTATAAATTATAAGTTTAATTTAATTTAATTGAAAATAATAAATTAAAATAATTAAAATATTGTGCAAAAAATAAAATAAAACAAATTTTTATTTAATCTAACTAAAAATAATTAAAATATTAAAGCTATGTTTAATATTGCTATTACTTAGTAAATAATTGAAAAGGATAAAATAGTCATTTGAGCATTTATCATTCTCTATAATAACCCAAACAAACATTGGATAACTAAAAATAATCCAATCCAGACATCTAATCCCATGACTACACAAACATAAGATACAAACTTAGTCCAACCAAATAGTCTTAGGACAATATATCTAAGGCTAATAGTCTGATGGATTACAATCCCTCCTTATCCAGTCCGTCCAAACAAACGCACCTTCTGTATTTTTTTACTTGTATAATTTTGGTTCTCGTAATTTCAAATAATTTGATTTGTACTCTTAAGTTTAGGATCTGTGTCAATTTGATCCAATTAATAACGTCTATTAGGATGTTTTGTAGAAAATGATCACTAGTTAATTGAAATTAACTTAAAAAGTTAAATAAATTTATAATTTTGTCTATAAAAACATGATATATGTTGTTCATGCATGCATTTTTCATAAAAAATAAAAAAATAACAATTGTAGTTAATTGAATCAAATGAAGACAATCATAAATTTAGAATGAAAATTGAGACAATTAAAATTATAAGGATTGAAATGACACAAAATCAAAATATAAGAATTAATATTGTAATTTGCCTAAAATACTAAAGCAGATCCATGTGTGTCATCAAAAATATAATTAGTCCAAAGTTGAAATATAAAAGATTTATAAATTATAAGAATCGAAATGACACAAAATCAAAATATAAGAATTACTATTATAATTTGCCTAAAATACTAAAGCAGATCCATGTGCGTCATCAAAAATATAATCAATCCAAAGTTGAAATATAAAAGATTTACAAAATAATTTGTGTAATCTAAAATTTATTTTTGTAAATTTTTTTTGAATCATAGCAATGGTTTGTTTTCTGCATAACCATTTTATATTATAGCTTGTTTTTTACTTTTTCAGTTTATTCAAGTAAGATAAACAAAACAAATCAAAAGAAGAATTTTTTTTTTTTCTTATGCTATAATTTGTAACTTTGATTTTCTCATGTTACAAAGTGTAACTTTTTCAACTTATTTCAAACTTTTAAGCGTTCGTTTGGGATGCGGATTGACTTTTTAACTATTTTGACCTGTGGCTAAAAAGTCTCGTTTGTGATATTCTTTTTGAATTTTTTGATTTTTATGAGAAAAAAAATAAAATAATTATAGGTTAAATGTGACATTTTGTCTCATATAGTTAAAATAGCCCAAACAAGTAATCCCAAACAAACCCAATTATGTTTTGACAAATGAGCCTTCATCATTTTTGCCTTAATTATAATTTTTTAGGACATATTGGATATTTGCAATATATATATATATATATATATATATGTATATACCACAGTTTATTTAATCAACCACGTAGAATTTTTATTTATTTATTTATTAAATTATGAAAAGTTATAACAAACAAATTTACAAGTTATTTTAAAAAATTTAAATTAATAGTATAAAAAATTGTAATGATGAAAATTAAATTAGGAGTGATGCTAAACGGGTAGGTATATTTTTATGAGAGAAATAACTGCACTAGCAAAAAAATCAAAAAACAAAATCACAAAAATATAATATTTTCTAATTATTAAAATATGTAAATGTTTTCATTAATTTATAAATTTTTTACTACACCACTGTATAGTTATTTCTCTTATCTTTATCAGCTTTTCACAAATCATATCAAATTATACTTTCGTTCAACGACAATAGATTGAGGGCTTAGTAGTATAAAAAAAATATATAAATATAAATATACATATCACATCAAATAATATATGAATCTCACTTATTACTATATTATAGTGATGTGACAATAAAAAACAAAAATCAAAATACAAATCAAAATATCGCATTACAAGACGGACTCATTAAAACTCTCTATAACCCTTCGTCCAGTTCTTTTACAACAATGATTCATCTCATTAAAAATATCACCACTAATAGTACTAATGTATTAAAAAATAAAAAAATAATAAAAAAAATACAACTCCAAGATCAAAACATCACATCATTAATGGTGGGACCCACTGCCACCTAATTAGTGGGAGCACTAATTAGTGCTCCCAAGCATTTTTCAGTTCTTTTAAATATGTTTTTTATATTTTAATAAAAATTTTAAATGATGTGATTCATGATATATAATTGATTTGAGACATGACACGTCAACTTTTCACAAGTCATATTAAGTGATGTGATAGTCAAGTCATGCAAACCCACTTATTTTATTCACCTAAAAAAATCAATCATTCAATTAGTGAAGTAATTAAGGGCAAATTACATATACACCCCTCGAGGTTTGGCTAAATTACAAATACCCCCCTGAGGTTTGAGAAATTACGAATTCCCCCCTGAATGCTATATTTGCATAAGAAATTAGGGGGTAATTTGTTATGAAATATAAACCTCAGGGGGTAAATTGTTATGAAAATACAAACCTCAGGGGGCGGGATGTAATTTCTGAAACCTCAGGGGGTTAAGACTTCATTTGGGAAGCCAAAAGCCAGACTTTTTTTAGCTATTTTACTCACAATGCCTAATAAAACAAAATATTACATTCAATTCATAATCATTACATTCTTTCTTTCACAAAAAAATCAAAAAAACTTTGTCCTTTCCAAACTAGGCTTTTTAGCCTCATGCTAAAATAGTCAAAAAATTTAAAAAGTCAACTCACTTTCCCAACGAACCTTAAGTAATTTTTTTTTTTAAACATACCTAACATAAATACACTTAAAAAAGTATAATATTTTTGAAAAAAAACTTTAAAAAATAAATACTAAAAAATATGAAAATTCTGTACATTTTTTGTATTTTTGTATATTTATTAATTTTTTAAAATATTTTTCACAAATATTTTACTATTTAGATACATCTAAATAAGATGCATCTAAAAAATAAAAAAAAATTATTTAAAATTTAAAAAATATTCACTAAAAATAAAAAAACACAAAAAATAAAAAACTTAATTTTTAAAAATTAAATTAAAAAATCTGAAGTCAAACATATGGATATTTTTCTAAGGGTTGTTTGGGATGACCTAAATAAGTGTACTTTTTGTCTTTTTATAAAAAAATATACAGAAAAGTAGAGAGGTGATGTAATGAAAAAAATATAAAAATATGAATTATTTGGGACTTCCCAAACTTGGCCTTACTGTCCCATTTTGCAGTTAGTTCTCCTTAATTAGATCCATCCATTGCATTGGACATCATCTGCCCTTGAGCGGGCCTGATGCTTTTCAAATTATTATTTATTTATTTATTTATTTTAATATGTTTGTCGGGCAAATTATACCCATGATCTGTATATATTATAATTTAAATGTTTATCTAACCGACTTATTTAGCTTATTTTTTTTTATATATTTTTTTAATTCCAACCCAAACTCAACCCACCAGTCAAATGGCAGCTTTAGTTTGGTTGCCTCCCCACAAATAAATTGAATTTGAGTACACATTGGATTTCTAATTTAATAGCGAGGAGGGGTACAACAGGATGTGTTGTGCGCCAAACGGTGCAAGTTTGGTCTTCTGTTACATTTTAAAATTTTCTTTTTTTCACTGTTTGATGTTCAGCAAGAAAGACTATACTTTAAGTCTTTCTTGTTAATTTTTTTCTGATTTTTTTGATATACCTTTTTTTAAAGTAATACTGAAAATTTCTAAAATATTATTTCGAATACATTGCAGTGGCAATGATTGTGCTTTGGTTAATTATTAAACAAATTAACAACTGAAATGTTATAGTCTACATTATTAAAGGTATATTTAAAGGTAATATTTTATGGGTATTAAGTATTTTTTCTTCCTGCCTAAATGGGTAAAACATTGATGTTTTACATTTCATCCCCAGTTATAACTCAGATGATATGAATAATTATATGTTATTGTTGGAACTAGATTTTCACTAGAACACAAAGTCAACTGGACCATATTTGTTTGGAACCGTAGGTCTCATTATGGATTCCACCTCAATTATTTGAACCATTATTTTTATAGTCCATAACCTATAGATCATTTATGAAAAAATCATATTGATTTGATAATTGTAGAAACGTTTATTACATTTGTCTACCAAAAAATAAATAGTTTAGTTTTCAAATAATATGTCGTTCATTTTTTTTTTTTTTTTGGCAAATAAACGTCATACACTAAAGTGACTACAGTCATCGGAATGATTTGATTTTTTTAGTAAATGATCTACATGTTGTGATCTAAACAATTGACGAAAAATGCTCAATTTTTCGTGTTGTTGTTACGGTTAATGATCCTCTTCAGATAATTCGTCCAACCTAAGGATAGTTTTGTATTATCGAGATGAGAAACATCACGGTCCAAATTGAAAATAATTTTGTTGATTTGATTAGGAATTAATCAATTAAGACATAATTTTTTGATAATATTTTGGGAGACTATCAACATTTAAATAAATAAATAAATAAAACATGTAGAAGAAGACCAAAGTGGCACCGTTTGGCCACACAACAAATCTTGGTGCACAACAGGTACCCCTCCATTTAATTAATAGTAGTGCTTTCACATACTTGTAATATATATATATATATATAGACATTTTTGTCTTAGAAGTAATAATCTAAAAATTGCATAATAAAAGTGTGTGATAATTACATTATTTGTTTGGATATATGGAAGAGACGGGATTAGAGAAGGAAACAATAAAGGGGTATGCACATCGGACGAGCCAAGAGGAGGATGAAGTGAAGTATGAATGCAATTTTGTAATTCCAGAAGGTTATGGTGAGATTGGTGCAGTCTTGGTCGAGAATGAACACCACAAGGAAATGTACCTCAAGCAAATTGTCTTTCATGGATTCCCTCCTGGTGGCCCTGTTCACGTCACTTGCAATTCATGGGTTGCTTCCAAATTTCATAATCCTCACAAGAGAATTTTTTTCACCAATAAGGTCAGCCTCCCTCCACCATCCACATAAATACCACACAACTACATGCATAAGATAAACACGACTTGACTGTTTTTCTTTCTTTTTTTTTTTGTTTTAATTAACTTATCAATTTAAAATGTTATTTTTCGCACTATTGAATCTAAAATCCTTTAGTTTATCCTAAACAACCCCAGTATGTTGCAGTAGTGAGGGATTTTCGAAAGTGAATTATGATAAATAAATAAAAAAAAAAACAAAAAATAAAGAAAAATTTGAGATATTTGTAGGAGGTCTTTAAATTTTTATACAAGTTTCATTATCCGATACAAGTTTGAAAATCTTCATTTATAAACATCTTTGTTTGGACAAAAGAAGAAAAAAAACATGTGGAGTTTTCAACTTTCTATGGGGGGTTTATGTTTGAAACCATGTATAGCTAATCTTCGAAAAGGGTTCAAATTATGTTTTCAAACTGAGAGATTTTAAATCGTCAAACTTTTCAAATTTGTTTAGCATCTTGAATATTTCATAAAATTGCCCATTTTTCAGTCAGTCGATAAATAAGGATGTATTTCTAATCAATGTTATTATTTGAGGATTTAGATGTCTTTTTTTTTTTCTGTAATAGTTTTATTGTAATTTTCATTACAACAAGACACATTAGCCAAAGATATAAACTATCGCTTCAAGTTTAAAATTAAAATAAATTAACTTTATATATTTTAAAATATGCATTCTTTTGCTTTAAATTTAGACTTGGACTATTGAATTATCACAAAAAAATATCATTGCAAAAACAGTGCAAAACATTAATTTGTATAATATATATCAAAAAAAAATTGAAAAATCTAATGTTAAAAATATTATACCGAAAAATTCACACATTGATGTGACAATTACAATTTTGTAATTAAAAATCATTTTGAGGAGTGTTTATTTGAAAGTGAAAATTTCAAATTCAATCAAATCATTTTATAGGTTTGTGTTTGGATTTTGAAAAATCTATTAATCCATTTGAGGGTCTGCTTGGAATGACACAGTTTGAATAAAAAAAAAAAAAAACATCAAAAAAGTTTGAAAAAACAATTAAAAAAATTATACAAAAAGGTTAAAGGCTTGTTTCTATTCTTTTTTACTTTTTGCATTTTTTCCTGTAAGAACTGAAAAATCAACTCCAAACACTAGAATTTTTTTCACTTTGAATTTTAATTGAGAAATTTAAAATTATTAAAAGAAAAAACTACTTCTAAATCAACTAGAGTAATCGTTAATCTTAGGAAAAATTGCAAATCAATGGTATTTTTAAAAATATTTACAAATTCATAATTATAATTATTTAAATTAATAAAATTTAGTTAGATTTTTTTTTTATTTTATTTTAAACTTACACTGAAATAAAATTTTGCATTAATCATATGGTCCTGACGGTCCAATCCTAATTTATACGGACAGTGTCCATCTTGTCCAAGATCAAAATTGGACCGTTCAATCTGATTTATGGATTTATTTTTGGGTTCTATTTTGATAATTCGAACCGTTAATATGTAAAACTCGTCGAGTGTTTTATTTTTATAAAAAATTAGATTGATCGGATATTGATAAGCTTTTAACAGAAATTCAATTTAATCAAATAATTATTAATATCTTATCAATATATATTTTTATAAAAATATAATATCTAATAAATTTTATATATTAAACAATTTAAATTATTAAAACGAGGTACAAATATATATTCATAAGTCAGGCTAAGCGATTCAATCCCAATCTCAAACTTAAAATAAGCGGGACCCATCTGGATGTGTTTGTGTGATCCCAGTCTATATATCAACTTCGCAGTATTGTTTGGACGAGGTCCTCGGGCAGAGTGTGAGTTAGATTTTTCACTGAGAGCGGCCAAAACTCCACATCAGTAGCTGGTCCTTCTGGTACGACCAGACCGAGATGGACTCCTACAGTGTTGTAGCCTTCAACGGATACATCGGATACCATAACATTATTATATTGGTACCATGGCCCATATTACAATTTTCACAATGTTACAAATTGAAAAATATTATGTAAAAATTTATTTTAACAAAAAAGTAGCTTAGATTTATCTAATCAGAAAGTCTAAAAAAATCAGTTTTTGGCTTTTTAACTTTTTTAATAAAAAAAAAGGCAATTTTTTTTGTTAAAAAAAATTATCAAAAAAGTTAAAAAATCAACTTTTTACTAATTTCTCAAAACACTCGTAAATCAAAAATAACTCAGAGTGGGTGTTTGGGAAGTGAATTTTTATGTAAGTTTTTTTAGTTGTAAGATATTATTAGAGAAAAAAATTTTGTATTTGAAAAGATAGTTGAGTTTTTTTGTGATTGAATGTGATATTTGTGAGAGAAAAAATGAAATGATTATAGAATTGGATATGATATTTTGTTTGGATATATTTTTTTTTATTTTACAAAAAAAATTGTCTTTTAATGAAAAAAATCAAACAAAAATCTCCAACCCAAGTTCTCACCAGAGTTTGTAATCAAGGTGTACGTTTAAAGTTGTTGGTGTGTGGCTATAGTATGAGTAAATCTTAGTAGTTCTACTTAATGAAATTTATTACAAGTTAAAAGGTGATAATTAGAAAGTATAAATTAAAAATAATCCTCCTTAACTTCTAGTTAATTAATTTTTTTAGATTATTTAATTTTTTTAACTTAATAAGTTATAAAAGTTGTACCAAATAATTTGACAATCTCAAATAAAAATAAACTATAAACAATTTATATGGTAATAAAGCATCCCTAATATTTTATTACAAAATTTGAATAATTTATTTTTGTAGGTTCCCAAAATAGACATATAGAACTTATGATATAGTATAATTCAATTTCAGATATACATCACGTGGAGATTTCACAATAAATTTTTTGGGTGCCCAGTTTTAGTGAGAATTAATAGAGTACTGTCGTTCAACTTCATTAATAAAAGCTAATGAATAAGGAATACAAAGTTAAAAATAAAAATAAAAAAAAAATTAAAACTATGAAACTTGGATATATATAGCATCAATAATAGTTTTGTTTTGTTTTATTTATTTATTTATTCTGTTTATTTTATTTTGAGAACAGTCATATTTGCCATCTCAAACACCAGATGGGTTGAAGAGGCTACGAGAGAAAGAGTTAGAAAATCTAAGGGGAAATGGGCAAGGAAAGAGGAAAATACATGAAAGAATATACGATTATGATGTGTATAATGATATTGGTGATCCAGACACTAGCTCTACTTTGAAACGTCCTGTACTTGGTGGTAAACAACATCCTTATCCACGACGTTGCAGAACAGGTCGACCACGCTCTAAGACAGGTCTCTCTCCAAAAACTTTGAAATTTTTTTAACAAAATTTACTAAAGACAAAGAAAAAAAAAAGTTAAAAAAGAATTTTCTTATTTATTTTTATTTTTTTTAAAATTCTTTGGGCTTGTTTGGTTTGTTTTTGGGAGAGTCGTTTTTAAAAAAATTTTGGGAAGAGAGTTTAGAAATTTTTTTGGTTTGTTTGGTTGTATATTTTGGGAGAGTTATTTTTTTGGGAGTTTGGGATGATTTGATATTTTGGGAGACTTTGAATAGATGTGTGAGAGAGAAAAAGTGATTGAAAATGAGAGAAGAGAGAGAAAAAATGATTGATTGATGTGTAAGAGAGAGAAATTGATTTTGAAAATTTTTTGAGAAAAACTCAAATCAAACAATTTTTTAGAAATTTTAAAATCACAAACGTAACACACATGGAAAACAAACAGAATTTAAATATATTCATATATATATATATATATGAATATATTTAAATACACTAGAAACGAAAATAATTAAAGGATTTGGATAATTAACGTGAGTTTCGTGGAGGCCCAACAGTGTCCTCTCTTCTAGTTGGGATTACTAAATCTCCGTTTGGCAAGAGCTAAACAGGGTTTTTTTGGCTTTTTTAGCCACAAAGGACAAAATAGGCTATTTTAGCTACAAAAAATAAAATATCACATCCAACCCATAATCATTATATTCTTCTCTCACAAAAAAAGTCAAAAAGTCAAAAAGTCATTCCCAAATCAAACTTTTTAGCCCAGGCTAAAATAGCTAAAAAAGTCAAAAAGCTAAAAACTCAACCCACTTCCCAAACGGAGGCTAACAGAGAGAATCTCCATCCTAGAGGAGAAAATTACTAAAAGAATTGGGTTATATCAGGGTGATCAATAAAGTATGTACTAGGACACTTATATAATTAAGTAAAGGAAAGTTGGTAGACAAATATAAAATATTTAGCATATTTATTTATTTATTTAGTTGTAGGGCCGGTTCTGGTTCAAGGCGAGCAAAGGCCTCCAACTAGGGGTGTAATTTTGGTCCGGCCCATGTCGGATCTTGCGGACTCCCGTCAAAAAATCGGGCTGGCCCACGGGCCAGAAAACTAGGTCTAGGCTCAAGCCCATGGGTATTCGGGCTTTGGACGGGCCAGTGGGCCAGGCCTCGGTCCGGGCCCATGGGCTTGGGCCTGGGCTTGGGCTTTGGGTGGGCTTAAACAATTTTTTTTATTTTTTTTACCAAAATTTTATTATTTTTCATTAGAAATAACACTGGGTATCGGATGGGCCGGGCTTTTGGGCGAGCCTTGAGCGGGCCAATGGGTCAGACTGGGCTTCAAAACGATGGCCCAGGCCCAGGCCCAGGCCCAGGCCCAAGGCCTCGGGCTGGGCTTGGGCTCGGACCTAAATGAGCCTTAACAGGTCGGGCCCACCTCAGGTCGCGGGCAGGTTTCGGGCTGCCGTGGGCCACGGGCCAAAATTGCACCTCTACCTCCAACTAATTTTGTCAAGCCTTGGGTCTTCAAATTTTGACAAAGTTTAGGGCCTCCAACTAATTTTAATTTTTGTGGTTCTAGTAGGCTTAAAAATAAATGCCCAAACTAACTAATTGAAGGGCAAATTACTCGAGAGTTCTTTTTGAAAAGTATGTGTTTTATTTAATTTTAAAACTTTTTAGATGGATCTAAAAGTCCTGTGTCTATTTATCTCTTCCTCTTTCTCTGCACAGTTTTTTTTTTCTTTTTTTTTTCCCTCTGATATCCAGCAACAATCACGACCACGTATTCCTTATTTTCTTTCTCTTTCTAATCTATAGTCACTGGCAACCACCATTGATTGGGGTTTACTATCAACCACCGAGCACCGACTCATTGCTTCGCACTCACCAACGTTGAAGGAGATGAGTTTTCAACGAAGAATATGAATAAATCTACTCAGATCTACATCAGATCTGAGTAGATCTACGTTAAATCTAGTTAGATCTAAACAAAAAAAGTTGCTGGAGTACAAACCTGTCTCAATACCTATCTCTTTCCTTTGATCTTTCAGTTTTTTACTTTTTCTATACTACACACTTCTATTTCCTTGTTATAATGAAGAAAATTTTTAAATTCTGAACAAATTGTTTTCGAGTTTACAAGCGGTGAAAATTATAAAATTTTACAGTTTCAATTTTTTTGGTATTGAAATGAATAATTCTTTAGTACTGTAAAGTTTTACAATTTCATAGCATACTTTTCAGTTTGATTAATAATGATAAATGTTTAATAGAATCATGCTTTCAAACTATAAAATGTTACAGTTTCAAAACTTATTTTTCAATTTGATCAATATTAGAGATTATTTACTTAAACCCTATAAAAATTGAAAATAACATATATTTTCCCCCCCTATTGTTGTTGTTTGTTATTGTTACGTTTGTTTTCTTCTTCTTTCAGTTTATCAATATTTAGCACATTTTTCTATGTTTTTTCCTCTAATTTTTCAATTTATTATTTTCGTTTTTCGAGTAATATTCTGAACATTCCAGTGAGTTTCCGGGGATATTCTTAACTTCCAATGAACATTTTAGTCATTTCGACGACTTTCGGTGATGTTGAGAACATTCCAACGATATTTCGACGAATTTTCGGTGATACTCTAGCGATTTTCCGGTGATGTTGAACATTTCGGTGAGCCTCCAGTGACCTTTTGGTGGAAGTCCAACAGTAGTGGGATATAGCAGCGTCTTTAATTTATTTTTTTTTAAATGATTTTTTTGGTAATAATTAAAAATATGTCGGACTAATTGATGCAATTATTTTGTTTTGAAACTAAATGAGTTTTGAATTTTATGTATGAGACCAATAGGTAAGTTCCCCCTAATTGAACTTCACAATTCAAATTAAAAGTACTTACAAATTATAGGTAAACATATTTAATAATTTTATTCCTAAAAATGCCAGAAAAGTAATACTTAATTTCATATTTTACTATAATTGTTTAATTTTTATTTGGTATTATAATTTTAGATATTGTTTGATCTTTTTTTTCTTCTTCTATTTTTTAATAGATTGGGTGATATTTTTTTCTTATTGTAAATTGAATTTGCTCAATTATAAAGCAACAAGACAACATTTTCATATTTTTTAGTTTGTAATAATTTTCTTCATGTCTTAATCTGTGTAAGTAAATTTTAATAAATAATTTTAGTGATCATATATGTATATTCTGCGTGAGTATTAGTATAAATATATATATAAGAATTTATCATTTTACCCACAATTTCTATTTTATTTTATAAATTTGTATAAGATAAAAATATATTTTCTAAAAAATTAACTCAAAAAAATATATTCATAGATCACATTCATCTAAGTAGGGCCCGAATCTCATTATATTAATTCTGAATCTTCATTATACACTTTCATGATAAATTTATATATATATATAATAATAATAATAATAAATACATGAAACGCTCCAAGTTTAACTTCACCTTGGGCGTCAAGCATTTGAGGGCCGACCCATTTTACCTTTACAACAATGTTAGGTATCATGAAAAACATTTCATGAAAATAATCATGAAAACTTTGTGACTCTTGGATTACACTTAGAATAGAGCACCACACACTGATCAAGGTAATCCGAGGATCATAAATTTTTCATGAAATTTTTTTCATGATCCCTAACTTTTCCCTTTGCTGTATGGTTAATGATGTGAATATTGGTAATTTATAGATCCAATGTCGGAGTCATGGAGCAGTGGTAGCATATACGTGCCAAGGGATGAGGCGTTCTCAGATGTGAAGCAGCTAACATTTTCAGGCATGCCCGTATACTCAGTGTTGCATGCACTTATACCATCTATTGAGAATGCAATTGTGGACATTGACCTTGGCTTTCCTTACGTCACTGCCATTGATTCCTTGTTCGATGAAGGAGTTAACCTTCTTCCTCTTTCCAAAAATGCACTCTTGAAGGACCTCCTTCCCAGGCTTGTCAAGTTTGTCTCTGATGCTGAAGAAGGTCTTTTGCGCTTTGAGACCCCTGCAATGTTTGAAAGTACGCCGTATATAACAAACAATAATCATCAACTATCATCATTATCTCTCTCTTTCTTTCTGATTACATGACGATGAGTGTCTACTTTTGTTGTTGCAAATTGTAGGAGACAAATTTTCTTGGCTTAGGGATGAAGAGTTCTCGAGGCAGACTCTTGGTGGTCTCAACCCATGCAGCATACAATTGGTCAAGGTAAACACATGCCTGGAAAAATTAAAATTAAAACACAAGCATAGCTATTAATCTGAAATAATAACTTGGACTAGTTTGGTAACATTTAATATTTTCGCATGGTTTTGTATGCAAATTTATGAAGAAACACCGACGTTTCAAAATAGGTAATAGAAAATGTTTAGAAACATAAAAAATATTACATAATTATATACAATCCTCTTAAAAAAGGGTTTCATCCTCTGTGTTGACTTATTATTGACTAGTGACACCAATGACGTGATGTCACTAGATACTAAATTTCTACTCGTTAAACACACCATCTAGTGGATTAATTATATATATATATATTAAGATGTGTTGGGAAAACTTCATGCACACTTAGCTTTCATATTCCTTAGCATACCTTAGGTTTTATTTATTTATTTATTTTTTTGGAAAACTGATTTGAGATAAAAGAGGCACAATATTTAAGAAAATAATTAAATTTATCATGTTATATAAGGTGACTTAAATAAGATGATGTGACTTAAATAGGATAGTGACTTTTTGAATTTTTTTTAGGATGCCAAACTTGGCCTTAGCTTTCATATTCCTTAGCATACCTTAGGTTTTATTTATTTATTTATTTTTTTGGAAAACTGATTTGAGATAAAAGAGGCACAATATTTAAGAAAATAATTAAATTTATCATGTTATATAAGAAATCAATAGGAGGTGAAATCTTTTTGTGACATATAGCAAAACTCAAACAAAATATATGGAAACAAAAAAAAAATGAGAAATTGAAAAAATAAAATAAAAATACACATATATTAATGGGAGAATTGCAATTCAGTGCATTTTTGAGAAAATATTTACAAAGACATGAAAAAGTTTAATTTTTTAATTATTAATATTTATAAAATTTACCATTTTTGTACAATTTTTTCCCCCCTAAACCTACATTGAATTGTATTTTTCGCTATATTAATCGACATCTCTCATATCTTGTGTAGTACAATTATATTCACATAACATATGCAAATATTTTTCCACATTCATGCCTTATCTATATGCTAAGTTTTAAAAAGTGAGTGTGTTGTTGCAACAATGCTTGTTTTACAATTCATATTGTGACAAGTGTAGTGCTATTTCTCAAAAGCCAATATAAGTGATGGGCCCTATTGTTTTAAGGGGAAATAACTTAACAGTTAGATAGATAAAAAGAAAATACACAAATATAGAGGGGTGTAAATTTGCACCTCCACAGTATTTCACTTGCACCCTACCACAGATTCACCTTTCATATTTTTGCAATTTTTTTTTCTCCACCACACTGTCAAGTAATTCCCCCTTATTTTAATCTAGTAAAACAAATTAGGATACCATATATATTTGTCCTAAGGGCACTAAATAATTTTTCTTCTCAAGTCTTAGCTCAAGAGATTTTGTTATGTCATTTTATAGTCTTTTGACACACACACACACAAAATAAATAAATAATAAAAAATAAATAAAAGGAATGTTAAAATGATATGATCATCTGAATGCAGGAATGGCCATTGAAGAGTAAACTTGACCTAAAGATATACGGCCCACCAGAATCGGCAATCACCAAAGAGCTGATTGAGCGACAGATCCGGGGGTTCATGACCCTTGAAGAGGTAATGCAATATATAATTATTGAAAGTCCAATGTGGTATTTGTATTTGTCTATGCCTAAAAGCCTTGCATCCAGAGATTGAGATTGAGATTGAAATTTGGTGCAAATATGCAATGCAGGCCTTGCAAACAAAGAAGCTTTTTATGCTGGATTACCATGACTTGTTGCTACCTTATGTGAACAAAGTAAGAGAGAGCAAAGGGACAACACTGTATGGGTCGAGGACACTCTTCTTCTTAACACCTGATGGCACCTTGAGGCCTTTAGCCATAGAGCTGACTCGGCCACCAGTAGACGACAAGCCTCAGTGGAAGCAAGTGTTCACACCTACCGGGGATGCTACTGGCTGCTGGCTTTGGAGGCTTGCCAAGGTTCATGCCCTTGCTCATGACTCTGGTTATCACCAGTTAGTCAGTCACTGGTATGTATACAAGCCATGACTTATTGCTCAAAGCTCTCTGAAATTAGAACAACTATATATGAATTTCCTTTCCTTTCCTTTCCTTGCCTTTAGCGACTTAATTTGTACATGCAGGCTAAGAACTCACTGCGTGACAGAGCCTTACATAATTGCGAGCAACAGGCAACTTAGTGCAATGCACCCGATTTACAAACTATTGCACCCTCATTTTCGGTACACAATGGAGATCAATGCTTTGGCTCGACAAGCCCTTATTAATGCTGGTGGAATTATTGAGACTTGTTTCTCACCCAAAAAGTACTCTATCGAGCTTAGCTCTGTTGCCTATGATCAACAGTGGCGTTTCGATCTCCAAGCACTACCGGCTGACTTAATTAGCAGGTAACTTACCAGCCAAGCTCTACCAAAGCAAGTGAGATTAGGATAATTGATGTGAATCAATAATCCATAATTTTTTCTTTTTTTTATTTAAATAAAAAAACTCAAAATGTACCAACCATCAACCATGGTTTTAGTATCCTGTATTGCCTGGTATGTACTACATACCCAGGTAAATCAATAGGAATACAAATCGCATACATTTCAGTTGGTTACCAACATGTACCGGTCTATTGTTACCTCATGACCTGGTTCACAATCAATACCGTCAGTTCACAACTGATACGGTCGGTTTGGCTGTTGTACAACTCTTTCTTGCGATTGATGATGTTGAAACTTTGACGATTGCATTACCCAATTCTCAATAAGTATCACTTGATATACTCCTAATACCCTTATACTATAATTGATCGTAAAATTCATCTCTAATACGATCATTTAAAATCGTGTCAATTGATGGTCTTTCTACCTTGGGGTAGGGAAGGGGCTAATTAGTGTCGTTATCTTTTGCTAACTTCTTCAATTTGGCTAATTATTAGGGGAATGGCTATGGAGGATCCAACAGCTCTGCATGGCCTAAGGCTAACCATCGAGGACTACCCTTACGCGAGCGATGGTCTGCTAGTTTGGGATGCCATAAAGCAATGGGTTACAGACTATGTCAAACACTATTACCAAGATGCAAGCTTTGTACAGTCTGACAAAGAGCTTCAAGCATGGTGGACAGAAATCCAAACGGTAGGTCATGGTGACAAGAAAGACGAAACATGGTGGCCAGTGTTGAAAACCCCACAAGATCTAATCGGAATTCTCACAACTATGATCTGGGTAACATCCGGTCACCATTCAGCTGTCAACTTTGGGCAATATATCTATGCAGGTTATTTCCCCAATAGGCCTACCATTGCTCGAACCAAAATGCCTACTGAAGAACCAACTGATGAAGAGTGGAAGTGTTTCATCAACAAGCCTGAAGTTGCACTCTTGATGTGCTTTCCTTCTCAAATTCAAGCTACAAAAGTCATGGCTGTTTTGGATGTGCTATCTAATCATTCACCGGATGAAGAGTATCTCGGTAAGGACATGGAGGCATCATGGATAGAAAATCCAATTATAAAGGCGGCATTTGAACGGTTTAATGGGAAATTGAAGGAGCTAGAAGGAGTCATTGATCGTAGGAATGTTGATAAGAACTTGAAGAATAGATGTGGAGCTGGTGTGGTTCCTTATGAGCTTTTGAAGCCATTTTCTGAACCTGGAGTGACAGGGAGGGGAGTTCCAAATAGCATCTCAATTTGAGAAGTGAATGCATTTGTAAGAAGTAACATTAAAACTGATAAGTTTGAGCATAAAATGATGAAATGCACCAAAAGATTAAAAGTGTGAATTTAAATTCAATCATCACGAGTTCATTTTGTAAGGATAAAATAAAGAATTGCTAGCAACTCCTTTTGGGTATATTGTTGGATTTATTTTTCTAGTGTGGCTCAATAACCTACATATTTTTTACATGTTTTTAATTTATTTGGACTCCACAAATAGATAAAGCCAATATTTAAGATCAAGTTCAGTAATTAAAATTGTAATATAATCACTCTTTTAAGATAAGAAGGAAACCTTGATGGATTAGAAATTCTTCTGATAGAGTTTATCTGGCCCTCTTCTCTCCTCTATATAAGGATGGGTGACTCCCCTTCTTTTGATTTATTCCATCACTCTAAGTTTTATAGTCATCCTAATAAAGTGAGAGACAGAGAGAAAAAGGTGAGCCAAGAATTAAAGGTTCAACTATTAGGGGTATTTTCTCAACTTCTCTAATTCAATGGCTGACAAAGGTATGTTCGTTTTATTCTTGAGTTGTATTGAATTCAAGATCCTGTAAAGTTTAATTCCGTATTATTATTATGGTTACATGTATTATTAAATCTTACATATATTCCTAAAACCCCACCCATGATTTACAAGTAGATAAATTATTTTTTTGAATACTCTTTTTTGGGTAAGTATATATATATATATATTTTGAATACTTACTAAGACATAAGCAACAAGATTTAGGATGGGGTTTTACTGTTTGAACAGAAGCTTATAGTATGGTTTTACTGTTTATGATATTAGTGCCAACAATTGCTCAAATTAGTATAGATAGGCTAAGGACAATTCGCTTTTAGTTATGAAGACTAATCTCTGTGTCATTTTGCACAGCTGACAATGTCATGCATAGGTATGGTACAAGCTTGAATCCCAAACCCATGGCATCAATGAGGTAGTCGCTGATCACCCTCTACCCCTCCCGGTCTTTTGTATCTAGGGTATACATGGATCGGATTGGTCCGATTTTAGAGTAACACTACAACATTTTCTTAGTTTAGTGATATTTGAAAGTGCCACAAAACTATTAGTTTAATGACATTTTTTAGTCTTGTGACATTTTGAACAAGTGTCATTTGTATCTGTGCCACGGTAGATACTTGCAAGTGCCACTACACCATCATGCCTAAAAACTTTTAATGACATTTTGATGTCATCGTAGATATTATTTGTGACACTATCAAGCGTCATTAAAAAAAGAGTTAGTGACACTTATAAGTGTCATTACACCATCAAGACTAAAACCTTTCAGTGACACTTTAATGTCATGGTATGCACTATTTGTGATGCTATCAAGTGCCATTCGTAACGATAATTCGTTGTAGAACAATTTGATCCGCTCTTGTGGAGACTCAAACCGCCAACCTCCCGCACCATAAACCTTATACACTACACTCTTCCCACTACACGTCTATAGCACCACATGATTATATATGCAACATATATTATTTGTATAGTACATACATCCATATTAATATAAAAGTATATGTATAAACATAATTATTTTATTGAACATAATTTATGTAAAATAAACTATTTACTAGCAAAATAAAAAAAGGCCACTTTTGGCGACTAAAATTTTTAGTCGCCAATTCTATACTTTTGGCTACTAATTGTTTTTTAGTTGCTAAAAAACTTAACTTTTGTCGACCAAAATCGGATTTGGTCATCGAAAATGCACTTTCAGTTACCAAAATTTTGGTCGCCAAAAAATTTAATTCTCGCCTTAGGATTTTAGTTCTCCCGCGCTAAAAATGACCATTTTTTTGTGACTAAACTTATTTTTTAGTCGCCAATTGTAGACTTTTGGCTACTAAAATTTTTTTAGTCACCAAAAAGCTTTACTTTTGGCTACTAAAATTTTTTTAGTCGGTAAAACCCATATAATCAGTGACCAAACTTATTTTTAGTCGCCAATTGTAGACTTTTGGCTACTAAATTTTTTTAGTCGCAAAAAAGCTTTACTTTGGGCTATTAAAAATTTTTTAGTCATTAAAACCCATATAATCAGCGACCAAACATAGTTTTAGTCGTCAATTGTAGACTTTTGGCTACTAAAATTGTTTAGTCGCCAAAAAGCTTTACTTTTGGCTACTAATGTTGTTTTGGTCGCTGAAAGCTATACTTTTAGCGACTAATTTTTTTTTGGTCAGGAAATTTAGTCGCCGAATGTGCTTTTTCCTGTAATGTATATTGAGTTTAATTTATTTATTTTTAATCATTTATTGCATTTTAAAAATTTAGAAAATATATTGGCATTTTTTATTTTTTCAAAAATGCCATTATAAGCTTGGAAAGTTTTTGGCTTAGTGGTGTAGACGTCCCCGAACGTCCCGAGAAAAATCCCGCTTTGTTCATTGGGCTCACTATAGTTCGGACTCAAAAAGTGCAATGCAAGATCGATAAATCACCAAAGAGTCCAAATCCGGCAAATCGTTTTGAAAAACTGATTTTTAGAAAGAAGTGCCAAACATGGACTGCTTTGCCAGATACAGAGTCGCCACCTAAATTTTATTTTGAGGGAATTTACGAAACCCTGACTCGTGCTTAAGGCCACGTGTCCGTCATCACCAAAGTTGCCTCAACTCGGGAACTTGGGTACGATTGGGAAAGGTCATGCAATGAGCACCTCCGCTCGCCCGATCAAAGATCGGCCACTACTGAATATGTTATCTTGTTTTTGAAAAACATATGTGCTCTTATTCCGGTTTATTAGCCGAGAATTGCTACGTGATGCGCACAACATACAAGTATAGACTGGATCGTCTAAGTTGAAACAAAACATCTCATGTTTGTTTTTGAAAGCGGTTTGCTACTCACAAGTAGGCTAAAATGCAGATTATGCCACCCTTAAGTGGGTTTAGGAAACATGGTGATTTGCTACTCTCAAGTGGGCTTAAAACTCGCAATCGATGAATTGTTCCAATTTAAATGATCCAACCTTCACCCATAGGTATTCAGGCAGGTATATCACATAAGCAGGTAGCCTCATGGTAAGCATGTTATCATGGCAGTCACTCACACACATGCAAGGATGCTAAAGCGTAACACGTACCGAGTACTCCGAGCCAAAACAGAAACTAGTTAGTAATCAATGCATGATCCTAGTTCATGTTAAGATGGCTAATGCAACACATGCAAAATGCAACTAAGATAGGCTCGGCTATTCTAAGATGGCATATAAGATGCTACAGATAACATGTATTCAACTTGGAATTGAAATACGATGCAGTTAGTATGATGCGCCGAGCCCGGTGCATGCAAGACAGATGAATGGATGCAAACATACGAGCATAAGGATGCTAATTGAAACATGCCCTAGAACTAACCATCATAAGCTGGCAAATAAAAGGGAGAAAGACGTGGGGTTGGAAGACATGGCTTGATAAACTAGGCCTCATACTCCGCTACGGTTTTGTTTCCTTGCTTCAAATTTTCAAACTTCGACACCTTCCTATCTCGAATACACTGCGGGAAGTACTTCTCATATAAGATCTCCAAAAATTGAGCCCAATTCATTCCTTGATGTTCATCTTGAATAAGCATCCACCAAAGGCGTGCTTCATCCTCGAGTGTAAAAGTAGCAAGCAAGACTTTTTGTGCCTCCGTACATAGAAAGACTTCAAATAGTTTTTCTATACCAAGCACCCATGCCTCCGCCTTTAGTGGATCAATTCCTCCTTTGAACAATGGTGGCTTCATCTATGTAAACTCCTTTGTGAGTGCAATAGTGCGGTCGTCAGCTTGGTGATCTTGCACTACATGTGGTGGCACAGGGATTGGTGGTGGTTGTTGCTGTTGTTGTTGTTGTTGCTGTTGTTGTTGTTGTTATTGTTGTCTAAAGACCTCTGCCATTTCCATGATCATTGCCTCCATTCTATCAAGTCGTGTGGAGGTTGAATCCTTCCCATGTTCCGCCCTTGTTCTCACCATAATCTAGAGGAACATACATTATAATTTTCACAGATAATATGCACGTAAGTCACATTTACAAATGCACATTTTCATGTCATACTTGATTATGAATGCATTATGGATGCAACTTAAACCTTTTATAGACTTCTAATTGCTCAAATGGACTTTTGTGTGAGATATTAACTCATGCTCTAATACCACTCTGTCATGACCTAAATCTGTCCCTAAAAGTTTGGATCATAACTGGCCAGTAATCACTTGATTACCTTCGGCCTCAAACAAACATACAGAGTAATTGTAATAATGGGACCACAAACGAAAGCATACAACAAATGAAGAAGTCCATTGAGTTGTGCCAATATGATCAAAATTATAAAGCATACACCATAACGCATTCATCATTTACATGTCCATGCAAAAGTATAAGTACCATAGGAAATTTATACATATCGATTACATATACCAAGACCAAAATAGTAAAAACAAAATAAAGTCAAAGCATAATGGGAGTCAAAAGCAAAACTTCATCTTGAAGGCATAACTCGACAGGTTCACAAAAAATAGCTCCTGACGCTGACCTTAAGGGTGGGCTCCATGCTGCGGATCACCTACATGTGCACATAAGATTGGGTGAGCAAAGCTCAATGAGTAAAAATATAGTAAAGTAGTGTAAATAAATGATCATAAGGTTCTCACAATATCCATAATCATAATACGGAATGGCCCTGGGCCCATTATGTAAACAAAACAGCCTTAGGTCCATCATATAAATAGAACGGCATTAGGCCCATCATATAAACAAACCAGCCTTGGGCACAATACAAATGAACAGAACAACCTTAGTCCCATCAATATCAGAACGGCCACATGCCCACATATTAACAGCTGTTCAAAATGACCTCAGGTCCAATCACGTATTATCATGTCATTAACAGAACGACCTTGGGCCCACATATTATACAGAGCGGCTTTGGGCCCAAACATATCCTAGCAAAAATAGAAACGGAATGACCTTAGGTCCACATTGCACATGTCATATAATATTTATGAAGTTCATTCATTCCGATCAAAACACAATGTCTACACAATTCACCATTTGTGGTTTAAGGCACACAATTAAGAACATATCCGTACAATATTATTACTCACAATGCGTTTGATTTTGCGGCGTT